AGAGGGGGCGGGAAGACAGAGCCGTGGGCTGCGGGCTCGTGAGCTTCCGGCGGGGGTCCGGCCGACCCACCCGGGAGGCCGCGCGGACGCGCTTCACGAGCCCCGCTCTGCGGCCCTGCCCCGTGTCGTGCCGTCAGGTCGGGCTCCGAAGCTCACGAGCCCGCAGCCCACGGCTCTGTCTTCCCGCCCCCTCTAGGCATCGAGGAGCTGTGTCAGAAGCGAGAGGAGCTGTGCCGGCAGATCCAGCAGGAGGAGGACGAAAAGCAGCGGCTGCAGAATGAGGTGAGGCAGCTAACGGAGAAGCTGGCCCGCGTCAACGAGAACCTGGCGCGCAAGATCGCCTCTCGCAACGAGTTTGACCGGACCATCGCCGAGACCGAGGCCGCCTACCTCAAGGTGGGGCTCTCAGCTGTGCGCTGTCAGTGCCTCGCTAGGCTCCGAGGCTGTAGGCTGGACGGTGGAGCCGTCTGTGGGATCCGAGAGAGTGAGCAGCGGTGTATGGGAAAGAGTACATGGTGTGGGCCAGAACTGCTTGGTTTTGCAGGGAGGGCTTGAGTGGGTGATTTTACCTCCCCGCTCCCCGCCCCCCATGCCCCTGTGGCCGGTTGGTTTCAGCACAGGCCAGATTGAGATTCCCATACTCCAGCGAGAGAGGCTGAGGCAGTGGGATTTTCCTATCAGAGAAATAACAACTCTTTTATTTCCCTGACCCCAGATCCTGGAGAGCTCCCAGACTCTGCTGAGTGTCCTCAAAAGGGAAGCTGGGAACCTGACTAAAGCCACAGCCTCAGACCAGAAGAGCAGTGGAGGCAAGGACAGCTGACGAGTGCCCGGCTCAGCCGTGGCCTATGGCTGCTCAGTCCCCGACGTGTCTGTCCTAAAGCATCTCCGTTCTTCGTGGCCTCAGATGCCTTCCCACGATCTCAGGTGCCCAGAGGGACAACTTCCGACCTCCACCTGCCTTGGGTGACGAGAAAAGCCCTAGGACAGTCCAAGGGGAAAGGAGTTCCCAGCTCTGTGTCATGGGGACCCTGAGCTACTGGTTCGCTCCATGAGGGGCCTCTCTCTGAAGCCCCTATATTTCCTTGGGCTGCCAGGAAGGTCCTGGTTCTAGTCCAAGTACTGTGGGAGCCCCTCACTTTGTCTCCTCAGCCACTAGGGGCCCAGGCCAGGCATGCTGAGGAAAGATTCTTGGCTCCAGAACTGAAACCTTAGGGTCCATCCCCATGGCCTCTGATGTTTCAATAAAGGTTGTTTTGCAAAGGTCTGTGGCATCGTCTGCCAGCTATCATGTATCCTGTTGGTAGGAAGGAAGGCCTGCAGTTTTCCCTGACTGTCCTGTCTTCAGAACACAGAACTGAGGCCAGCCCTAACCCCTAACTCTCCTTATAAAGGTGCTAGTCTCTTCCCTGAGGCCAGCACACAAACAACTTTCCTGTGAGGGCTTTGCTATACCATGGTGGTCAGTACAGAACCTGGCTCAGAGACAGCTGGCAACACTATATTGTTAGGAATGCTCTTAAGACAAGCCTCTCCTCCTATGCAAATAATTCCAGCTAGACCAAATTAGACTTAATAAAAAATATCCACGTTTAATAAATGCAGCACTCCCAGGTGGCCAGGAACATGGCGAGGGAGAGAGAACGAGATACAGGGTGGGGGTGGGGGACCACGCAAAACCTGAAAACCATGTGTCCTTTTCCTTGGCAGCAGCCTAAATAACCTCTGGGAGTAGTCCTGACCCTCCCTGGGAAGGGGTCAGAGCTTGGCAGGCTTTTCCGGAGGTGGAGTCCAGATCAAGGCAACTCCCAGAGGGAGGGGGCTTGAGATGGAGTTTTCTGCGCCATTGGTGCCCCGAGGATGAATGCCAGGGGCTGGGGTGACACTTCCAGTCATCCCAGACTCCTTGGATATGGGGGCATCAGAGGGCTGGAGTCTCACTTTCCAATGTATATACCAGCTGTTGTGGTTCTAGGTCTCAGCATGGACTGGGGTTCTTCATCTTGTCCATTCCTCCAAGTTCTGTTTGGCCCAATATATTGCTGCTGCTGCCAGGACTCAGCTCCCAACCATGGGTGTCGCTTATTCCTATTTCCAGGAGCCCTATGGCCCAGCTCTTTACCACAACTTCTCAGGCAAGTTTGGAAGTATTTGTTGACCAAGAAGATCCAGAAGAAAGATTTGATAGTCTACACCTATAATCCCAGCACTGAGGAAGAAGGGGGCCTTAAGTTCTAGGCTGTTCTAGGCCACATAGTAAACTGTAGGCCAGCTCTCGGGGTACAGTGTGAGGCCCTTTTTTAAAAAAGTGTCCATAAAATCGGACTTATTCTCTGAGGAAAGCATACATAACACTCCATCTGAGCCAGTCAAGCATTATATCTGCCCTTAGGTAACAGGAAGACATTTACATTCAGTGCCTATGACCATATGCCCATGTCTGTAGATAGTCCTACATCTTCACTGGCTGCCTAGGCTTCTGAGAACACAGCTTCCAAGCAGGCAGCTCTGCATCTCCCTAAACTCTTGGGAGTTCTCTGTTGCTATAGCCTTGTTGCAGTCTCATAGGGCAGGAGGCATCCAAATCAAACATGAGAAAAGATTTCCCAAGTTCACTTAGCCCCATTCCTGTGGTGTACACAGTAGCTACATTCCTAGGCTCCTGGCCCCATGGTGAATCCTGTCATCTACAACACTTGCCTTCCTCCCATCTGGCATCTAGATCCCTGGGACACGGAGTTCCAGACCCCAGAGAGTAGGTCCACTTCCCACTGTACTGTGAGGGAGAAAGTAGTAGGCTTAGTGTGGGGAGAACAAGAGCCTGGACCAGCAAGACCTCAAGATAATAAGAACACCAGACTAAGGCCACCTTTTGCTTCTTTGTGCAGGTGCCCAAGTTAGGCCTCCACCTTATTCTCAGACTGAGAACTGTGTAAAAAAGGCAAAAGCAGCCTTGTTACAGTGTTGTTTATTGAGTCCAATATCAGAAAGGGGAAAAAAATTACCCTGTCATCTATCATGAAGGGTGCCACCATAGTAGAATCATGGGCTGAGGGCAGGAGCTTGGGGTTCATTCAACAAAGAGCAAATAGCTAGGACAGCCTCTCACTCCTGACAGTGGCCCCTCCCCAGAAGGTAGGAGCCAAGAGGCAGGACAGACAGCACTCTGGTGCAAAGTCTGTTCAGGCTTTCTACCTCATCTCAGATGGGATGTTATAGACAGATGTCAACCTGTCCTGTAGGCAATTCCCACCTGTTCTTCCTTGGCACCCCCAAAGGGGAATGAGATTCAGACCTGAACCTAAAGGTAGAAGGTGACAGAGAGAGAGGAAGGCCCAAAGAGCCAGATGGAAGGGGGTACAGAATAAAGTCAGGGCTCCTGGGCATGGACTGGCTTCCAGAACCACCACACCTGGGCCTAAGTCTTAGCCATCCTGGCAGTTCCAGGGGTCAGAAATAGAGGGCTGGCTCGCTGCGGAAGTCCGAGAGATCATTCTGACTGGCAGGTGTGAGCTGAAAGAATAGAATATAGCCACTAAGCCTTTCCAGGCATCAACCCCCTTCCCCAGTAAGTCAGCCCTTGGGGGTCTGAGTGTCCACCCCTCTCTCCACCTGGCTTACCATGACCTCCTTCGGTGGGAGTTCCACCTCACTTGGAGCCTGCACCAGTGTCTGTTCCTGCCACTTGCTGAAGGCCATGGAATGCTTGGGAGTGTAGCTGGACAGGCCTGTGAACCAAAGAGAACAGGTATGGACACCTGGAAAATGTGGGCCAGGTTCCACTCCCAGCCTGCCCATCCCAACCGGCGGTGATTACCTGAGCTGCCATCTGGTAGTCGGGGGCTCTCAGGTCCCACACTGCTTACAAATGTGGCCCGGGGCAGGAAGAGGGAAAAGGACTTCTCTGAGTCAAGCCCCACTTCCTCCTCTTCACCATCGTCCTCTTCCTCCTCTTCTTCCTCCGCTTCTTCTTGGGCCAGGGAGCTCTCAGAAGGGTATTCAAATGTTGTGTGCAGGCTCTTGTCATTGAAGGAGATCTTCATCTAGGAGTAAAAGCCACGTCGGCAGGGGTCCTACCACCCAGCTAAGCAGAGACGCTAACGGAGAGAAGACCCTTCTACCGAGAGTTATAGGCCTCACCTATCCCATCTTCTGCTTGCAGCAGCTCCTAAGACTAATTCCACGTTCTGGGTATCTGTGCACCAACCATCACACTGCAGGAACCTGCTTAAGAGGCTGATACCCAGGAAGTTGGTGCTAGCTACCATCATGCATTTTTCAGGCTAGTGGGAGTCCCATTTCCATAGAGTTTAGGGTACCAGCAATACCATCAATGACCCCCCCCCAACTCCTACCCTACTGTGTATACCTCAGTGACTCCAGAATTTCATATTCAAGCAAACTCTCCCTTTTGTCCCAGTAGCCTGGTTCTGAAGGATAGAAAGCTGTGGGCATCCTCTGTCATGATCCTCCTGCATGCGGGAGTGTCCCTGTCCCCACGCTTCAGTTATGATTGCTGAGGTTCCCTAGCCCTCAGCTGCGCTCAGCCTAGTGGGCTGGTAATGAACATGAGCGCTCATGTGCAGCAGATGGGGCAGTCTTGCCGGGCTCGAAATATTAAACTCCCAGGCACAGGACACCGACAGCCAGCTCAGGTTCCCCCTCTTCCCCTGGAAGGAGCCAGAGGCCCAGCAGGATGGAAGAGTAGCCTAGCAGGAGGCCTGAGCCTGTCCTGAGGCGGCAAAGTGACCCCAGCACAGACCACAATGCACAAGGGCCCACAAAAGCAGGAGGCCTGAACGAACAAGACAGCATCCTGCCTCCTGTCCCTCAACCAACAGCTGCACTTGCCCACATGGCTTTAATACCCCTGAGCCCTCTCTGCCCATTGGGAGATTTCCCCTACCCCCACCCCCAGGACCAGGGCCTGCTCAGAGAGATCTGTTCTCGCAGGTCCTCCCTACTTTGGCCACCTGCACACATGAACAGGAGATGGACGAACTCCCTGGGTCAGGAGATGTCTACTCCTGTCATAATGAAGGCATGCTGTACTCTGCTCTGGCCTCAAGGCCAATCTAGTCCTTGAAGACTAGACTGAACTGGAGACAGATAAGGTAGACATTGTCACCTGGCCTTCCTCACTAGCCTTCTGAGACAGGCACCCTAATAGGAGCCCAAGACAGTATAGGGCCTTCTAAATCTAAGCGGCCCCTGGATGGAGCCCTTGAGGCCCATCCCCCTACTACTGAGAAAACAGGACCAGCTGCCAGGGCCCAGCTGGATTAGTACACCCTCATTAGTCTGCATGACCAGTTCCCAGCAGGGAGGCTGAGGGGATAGATCCATGTGGGTATAGTGCCTGGCAGCGCCAGGCCAGGCTGGGGGTGGGGAAGTGGCTCACAAGCCTGCCAGTCTCAGCTGCCCCCCCCAGTCACTTACTATGTCCCTTGTCTCCTCTGCCAGACCAGTGTTCATAGGCCTCCTCCCTTCCAGCAGAGGTCAGTGGGTCGCATGGTGACTCATGCTTATGACCCCTGCCAGGGTGGAGCTGCCAGGGCAGGCGGGGGAAGTACAGACAGGGATTGTCACTGTATATACTTGGTCATCAGTATCTGGGGGACTTTACCCAGCACACCTAAGACAGCAGGCAGGTGATGGAACCTCTGGGCTTTCACAGGGGCCTTTAGTGGCAGAACTTCCCAGCTTTTACAGGGCCCTTTTGTTCTCCTTCAGCCCGCCCTACCCATACACACCCAGCTTGGGTTACCAAATGGTGTCCACCCTGGGACTCAAAGCAGGGAAACTGCTCCACTGGCCTGGCTGAAGGTGATGTTTAGCCAGACCCTGCCCCCACTCCCTTGCACGCACTGTCTGGTTCCCATCCCCCCACTGGCCCCCAGCCAAAGTCCCCAAGGGTGACAGGAGAATAGATCAGAGCCACCCAACTGGGATATCCACAACTGCTTCCTCCTGAGGGCAGACCTGCACCAGTGAGATCTCATAAATAAGGGTCCAGTTTCTCTCTGGGGTCTCTGGCTCCAGAAAGACCATCTAGGGGGTCACCCGCGAGAAGACTTGGGGGAGAGAAACGGCACAGAAAGAAAGGCCGGTGAGACGACACTCAGGCTAACCCAGCTGCAGACTGAGGGAAGGTGATGCTGCTGCAAACAGCCAAAAGGATAGACACACCTTCAAATGGGCAAGCTGAGGGCCACTGCTGGGCCACAGAAAGTTGGGGTGAACTTTACACCTGCGGGGAATGGGGGAGGCCTGAGCCCTGAGGGCACTAACATGCTTGGGTGTGGCGCAGGAACAGGAGGTAGGAAAGAGGAAGAAGCAGCCAGCCAGGTAGGAGCCACTGGTGCTCCCAATCAGGGAGGAAGGGGTAAAAGGACACCCCTCTTGCCAAGAAAACAGTGGGGGCTAGGAGGGAAGAGAGGTGCAGACCAGACAGGGACTCTCTTTCCCAATAGATAGCCTAAATGGAATGTTTCTGCCAAGCTGCCTCTCAAGGACACTGGTCAATAAAATCCGCCCTCACTACTACTATCCAGAGCAGGGCTGAATCCCTGTGAAGCCACCATACGCTCTCCAAGCAGCCGAACCAAAGTAGGCTACCCCACACCATATCCTGCTGCCTAGAAGGCCCAGTGAAGAGCAATCCCTCAGCTATACCCTGGAAAACCACCGACATTGCCTTGGGGTCACCCAGTCATGGGGGAGGGGAATCAAAGTGTGCAGATGCCCCCAAATCCTCTGGGTCCACCTACTCCAACCAAGAGGAAGCAGGAGTCTGGGCCAGGACAATGACTTGAGCTGCAAAACAAATACGCTGGGTTTCCCTAGGGGCTGCAGGTAGGAGGAATGTCAGGGAAGGACAAAGTCCATGAAGGCCTCACCCTGCACACAGCTCTGAAGGTTGGGCAGCTTTGGGCCCTGCCCCCTCCCACAGGCATTCTGTGTCTTGCTGGGCAGGGCAGCTGGTGCATGCACAGGCAGGACAGCACAACCAGCAGGTTGTGCTGCTACAGAAGGCCCTGCCCAAGACACTTGGCCGTAATGAGCATCGTCCATCTGGACCCCCAACTCCCTCAGACTGGCCCAGACAGCCAGGCTGCTGGCCAGGGCCCTATCCCCAACAGTTTTTGGGCCTTGCCCTGCTTTTATTTTTGACATCGACATGAACATCACACCTGCTCTTCTCACTTTAACCCAGCCAGGAATGACTCCCACAGTTGCCTCCAGACAGGGCAGGGTAGCCAGGCTCTTAGTAGCAGCAGCCTTTCAGTCTCAAGATGAAGCCACGTTCAAGGTGGAGGAGTATCCCCGCCTAGAGGCAAGGTTCTAGAAACAGGAATCTGAACTCAGCTCCTGTCCCAAGAGCTCCATGGCCTCATGAACCTCCCAAGCTTCAGCTTCCTCCTCAACATAAGGGGTGCTTTCATCACTTCTTGGACAAGTACGGGAAGGGGCCACCTCAGAGATAGGAAGGTCAGGATCAGGAAGCAGGGAAGGAAGAAGTAAAAAGACGGGGAGGGGGCCTGGGTCAATATACCCCAAGCAAGAACTCAGGGTAAAGAACAGACGAAAGTGGAACAGAAGAGATGTCGGCTCATGTGGTAAAAACTGTTACAGCTCTGAGTCCCCCAAGAGAGACCACTGGAGATTCCTGACCCAGCAGATTAATTGGCAAGAAAGATGATGCCAAGGCCAATGGTGTCAGGAAGCAGAAAGTGAGGGAAAAAATAAAAAGAGTGAGGAGGTGTGGCTCGTCACAAAGGGTCCCCATGGAAACTGAGGCAGGAGGTGGCCAACCCGGGAGCCTAGCTTCTAGCTGTTTTGGAGCAGAAACTGTGGGTGCCATCTTGGCAGAAGGGAAAGGTGCACCTCCCTTTACCAGCTGACCGAGAGTCATGTGTGGTTGGTCTTGGAATTTGCCCCAGGGGACAAACACAGACCCTGGAACAATCAGGAAGAATCTGAGGAACGCTTTCCTTGTACCCAGAGGGTTCCAAGCCACTAGCCAGAGGTAGACAGGAAATACGGCTCACTCTGGCCAGTTCTGAGCCTCTAGGGGATTATTCTTGAGTCTCTCCGCTTGAGGCCCTCTTGACCAAGTCTGGTATGAAGCATGGGTACTCAGTCCATGCTTGCAGAGGCAAAGGCCTGCCAAGCTCCAGCTCCTGTACCTTCCAGGGTGCTGCGAACCTCCAATTGGCACCACACAGCTGATAGGCTATGTGTTTAGGCTGACCTCAGAGTGAGGAGGGTCTGCCCTAGCTTCTCATTTACATTCTCATATCCAGGCTCTGGCTATCTGTCCAAGCCAGGCTCCATAGGAATATGCCAGGCTACCTTCAAATCAAAGACCAAGTGAGAGCCACAAGGCCAGGGTATTTCCTGAAGGTAGACCTGCAATTAGTTGGAACTAGCCATTCCAAAGGGTTGCAGGGGCTTCGCGCTGCCTGGCCAGCTCTCCCTTCCAAATCTCGGGGGTAAACAACAGGCTGACCGACCCCAGCCTTGAACCAGCATAGCTTCACAAGGGCTCAGAACCTGGCACAACCACACAGTCCAAGTCTGTCATTTATCCAGAAACCGACCATGCCTGCCAGCAGCCCTCTCCTTACCACTTACCTTTTTTCTGGACGAGCCAGCCTTGATGAGGCAGGACTTCTGCAGGGCCAGGTAACCACCGATCACTTCAATCTCATGTACAGTGGGGTAGCGTTTCTTAAGGGTGTTCTCTAGGGCAGGGTGGGGTCCTGAGAGGCTGTCAGTGTCCTGTTCCTCAGACTCCTGTTGCTGGGACTGCCCATTGGCCGGACTGAAGTGTGCCTCCTGAAGGGTCTCTGGCTTCCTCTTGGGCACCACTATGAAAGTGTTGCTGCCTCGGTTTGGGAGCTCTGCGGTGTGCCCAGGCCTGGCAAGGGGCAGGTGGTACTGGAGGGGCCCACCAACTGCTGAGGAGGGCAGTTGGGCTTCTTGGGAGGTCTCCTCTTCTGAGTCTACTTCATCAATGAAGGTGACTGGAAGTCCTGGCCTCCCAGGCTCCTGGCCATTCTTGGCCAAGCCAGGAACCAAGCCCTCGGTCGGCTCTGCTTCAACAGTGGTTGGTAGGAACGGAGGTGGTGAGGATGACGGCTGCCACCTAACAGACCTGTCTGTGACAGCAGTGGCTGTCCGGGGGCAGCCCTCCTCCCTAGCTGCCCACTGCATCTCAGCAGTCGAGGTACTCCTCTCTAGGACAGGTGCACCATCCACTGTAGACACCGGCTGGGCTCTGAGCCCCTGGCTCTGAGAGGCCCAGCCTACCTCCGCGTTTGGCTCCACTGACTGCCTCCCCTCCGAAAAATGGTTCCCAAGGGCCTTGCGCTTGGGGATCAACACGAAGGAGTTGCGGGAGTTAACACGGAGGTTGGCCAGGGCCCTGGCCTGAAGGTCCCCGACTGGGATAGTTTCCACATCTGGCTTGGGGGCTGGCCTTATTTCGAAGGAGTCATTGGCGCTGGTGGCAGAGGAGACCCACCGGCGCTGGTTGGGAGTGGCACTGGCTGGGCTAGGCGCCGGCAAGGCAGAGGGCCCAACCGGAGTGGCACTTGGGGTCCCAGGGCTTGGGGGTGAGTGGAGGGAGGGTTCCCCTGACTCCACCTTTGGCTTCCACTTGCCCGGAACAGGAGGAGAGCCCGACAACCCATTGACAGGGCCGGCCGGGAACTTCTGGATCACGGGTCCATTAGAAAGCGAGTGATTGACCGCACCGCGGGGCAGGCCCCGGGGGTGGACAGTGAAGGAGTTGCTGCCGGTCTTCTGTAGGAAGTCGCTGCGCCGGGCCCCAGGGCCCGCGGTACCATCGGGGTGCGCGGGCTCGCAACAGGCGGAGCGCTGACCCGCGCGCGGGGCAACGGGAACAGGCGAAACAGGGAGTGCGGGCTGGCTGAGACGCACCGATGGGGCAGGAGCCAACGACCGATTGGTGGGAGCGCGCGTGGCAGTAGATGGAGGCGCCACGGGAAGCTGCGGAAGCCCAGAGCGGGAGCGCTCCGGGCTCCCGCGGCTGCGGGGGGCGGCCGGCGAGTCGAACTTCTCCAGCAGTCGGCTGACACGGCCCGGCTGAGGCGTCTCTTGAGGCGCCTCGTACACCACTACCTCGGCCGCGCGGATACCCGCAGCGGGCGGCACGGCGGGCGGGAAGCCAGGAGTCGACTCGATGATGAGGATGTTGTCGGCTCGGATGGTACGCACGCCCGGCACGCGACGGTACAGCTCCAGCAGCTGCTGCGCGGGCCGTGCCCCTCGACGCCGCTCCGATTCAAGTCGCATGAACGGGTTCTCGCTCAGCGGACCCAGACTCTCCGCCAGAACCAGCTTCTCGCTCTGTCCCTCCGGCACCGCTCCGGGTCCCGGGCCTCCGCTCAGGGCGGCCAGTTTAGCTCGCCTCCGCTCAAGGATCTCCCGCTTCCAGGCGGGCATCGCGGTGCGCGACCCCGGGCCCGGCCGCCCTAAGCCGGCCATGCTTGCGGACGCAGCCGCGGACGGGACTGCACAGGCTGCAGCTCGCCGGACAGACTCTCAACTACCTGCCTCAGTACCGCGCCGTGCCACGCCCCCCTTGGTAGCCGCCAATTGGGCAAGTGCGCTCTGACCCAAGGGCAGACTTGCCCGCCAATGGTAGAGGTATACGGCCCAATTGATTGGAGGACACTCACTTACACCCTCCCCTAGGGCGTCCTTATTGGACTACGACCGGCACCGGCCAATCGCTATTGGTGAAGATCAGTGGACACGCTCCCCAGCGAGGCGAGGCTCAATGGCTGCCCCTCATTTCCGCCTCTGCGCTCTGGACCCGGCACCTGTGGATCACAATTAGGGCTGGTTTTGGCCCGGCACCTAGCAGACCCTTGCGTCCTAGATGACCTTGGTACAGTTCCAACTTCCTCGATACCCACACAGCCACTCTGTTTTCTTGGGAAAGAGCCGTGCGCAAGAGCCGGGAGGTCCTTGCCCCCGTGGGCAGTACACAAGAGCATGGGGCCCTCCACCTTTGGGCCCAGGCCCTGCTCCAATCTGTAGTCCTTGAACCGCCGCGGACAGACAGGCGAGGGCCCCTTCAGGACCTAGAAATCCTGCATCTGAGATCAACTCAGCTAGAAAATTGTTTTTTTTTCGAGAATCTCGGTTTTGTAGATCTCCGAGTTAATTAGACCTATATATGTGAACCTCTGGTGCACAGTTTGCCCCTTGTGGCCCTGCGCACCAAGGAAGCAGCCTCATTTCCACACACAAACAGGTTACACATACAAGCAGAGCGTCACACACTTAGGCAGTTCTGTCACACAAAAGAGCACAGAAACTAGGGTAAGGATAGGTCCCAGTTCTGTTGAACTCCCGACCTCCAAGAGTGGGAAGGGGGTCACAACCTCACAGCCGACAAGTCTTTAGGAAGTTTCTTTGGGCAGAACTGCATATTACCCAATCTATACCCGTTTCCAGTGTACACAGTAGGGCAACTGCTTGGAGGCATTAGAAAATTGGGGAACCAGGCAGTGGTAGCACACGATTTTAATCCCAGCACTTGGGAAGCAGAGGCAGGCAGAGCTTGAGGCCAGCCTGGTCTGCAAAGCGAGCTGCAGGATAGTTACACAGAGAAACCCTGTCTTGAAAAGATAAAATAAGCCAGGCCTTTAATCTCAGCACTTGGGAGGTAGAAGCAGGCAGATCTCTGTGAGTTCAAGGCCAGCCTGGTCTACAAGAGCTAGTTCCAGGTCAGGCCCCAAAGCTAGAGAGACCCTGTCTTGAAAAATAAATTAATTAATTAATTAAATAAATAAATAATAAAATAAATGGAAAAAGAAAAACGAAGAAAACTGGGGACCAAGTTTAGGAGTCTGTGTTTCCTTTATCTGCCCTACAGACAACAGCCAGTTCTGTTTCATGGAATGTGGGTCTCTGCAAAAACAGTGGATTCCGCCCAGGGACGTGTGCCTTGCTGGCTTCTGGGTTGCGTGGCAGTCTAGAATCTGGCACCACCTTAACACTGATTTACCTGCCTGCCTGTTCCATTAGACAGGAGATTATAAACTGAATTTCAGCTCTCCGGAAGCCTTCCCCAAATCACTTTTTATTTTTCTCTTGATAGCATCAGAGATTGAACCTCGAGCCTTTTGGATGCTGGGCAAGCACTCTTCTACTGAGCTACAGCCCCTCAAGACACTTTTCTAAAGGAAGCTAGTTTCTAATACTCAAGGCTTCTCACTAAGCACTGAGCCATCTCTCCAGCCCCCTACTCAAGGCTTCTTTACTCAGATTTCCCAATTCCAAATTACCAAAACGAAACAGAAACACAAAACAAAATCTAAGAAGTGTTAAAGGAAAACCACTCCAAAGTTTAGCTTCTATCTTGCTTTGACAAAAGTCATCCCTATCTTGGGTTGGAGACATTTTCTTCCAGCCTGGGCAAATCAGCCAGGCTAAAGTATCTATGCCCAGACATAGGAGGGCCAAGCTGCTGTACTGGAGCACAGATCAGCATCCCTATTCTGCCAAGGGCCACAAGCAGTTATTAACCTAGTGACTCTGTCACCAGGAGACATTCCAATGTCACAAGAAAGATTCGGTTATTACAGATGAAGGCTGCTCCTGACGTCCAGTGAGCAAAGTCTGGCACACTACAAACATCCTACACCTTCAGGACAGTCTCTGCAGCCACAATAAAAACTGACCCAGGGCTAGTGAGAGCTCAGTCAGGAATGTGACCTCCACAAAGGACTGGATTTGGTTCCTTGACCTGGACAACTGCAACTCACTCCTGTGGCTTCAATGCCCTCTTCTGGCCGCCACGGGCATTGCACACGTGGTACACACCCACATATAAATCCTTTGCTTTCTTTTTCTTTCTTCTTCTTCTTCTTCTTTTTTTTTTTTTTTTCTCGAGACAAGGTTTCTTTGTAGCTTTGGTGTCTGTCCTGGAACTAGCTCTTGTAGACCAGGCTGGCCTCGAACTCACAGAGATCTGCTTGCCTCTGCCTCCCGAGTGCTGGGATTTAAAGAACACTGCCCGGCAAATCCTTTTCTTAAAGGATTTTTTTTTTCTTTTTTTTTTTTTTAAATATTTATTTATTTATTATGTATACAATATTCTGTCTGTGTTTATGCCTGCAGGCCAGAAGAGGGCACCAGACCTCATTACAGATGGTTGTGAGCCACCATATGGTTGCTGGGAATTGAACTCAGGACCTTTGGAAGAGCAGGCAATGCTCTTAACCTCTGAGCCATCTCTCCAGCCCCCGGATTTTTTTTTTCTTGCAAGAATGATCTAGCCGGACAATAGTGGTGCACGCCTTTATCCCCAGCACTTGGGAGGCAGAGACAGATGGACCTCTTTGAGTTCCAGGCCAGCCTGGTCTATAAAAGGAGTTCCAGGAGAGCCAAGGCTACACCTCCTGAGTTTTTTGTTCATTTGTTTTAAAAAAAGATACAGTTCTGCTGAAAAAGCTGTACTCTGCAGGTGACATTAGATCTGTTAATTATTAACTTTTGTTGATGCTTTTTTAGACTCCACTCCCCTCTTCCCTCAGGCTGCTGCATCTCACAGCCCAGGCTGGCTTCCAACTACACTGCCAGTGATGACATTGTAGTTTTGATCCTTCTGCCTCCACCGCACCCAAACGGTGATTACAAGTAAACACTCTTAATGATGAAGCTATAGCCCCAAGTCCCTTTTCTCCCCTTTCTTTCTGTTTTACAGCCACTTCAGGAAACACTGCGACATCCTGTTTTAAATCCTTTAAAAATGTAAAACTTGGAGTTTAAGATGGCTCAGCAGGTAGAGGTGCTTGTAAGCGGGCCAGACTACCTGAGTGTGCTCTGATATCACAAGGCTAACAACTAACCTGCATGAGTGGTGTGGTGCATGTGCGCCTGCACATACACACACACACACACACACAGAGAGAGAGAGAGAGAGAGAGAGAGAAATTTTAAAATGTAAAAACCATAATGTAGCTCAGTTGGTAAGATGCTTGCCTAAGCCAGGTGTGATGGTGCATGCCTTTAATCCTAGCATTTGGGAGGGAGAGGCCAGCCTCGAGAGTTTGAGGTCTGGCGTACAAAGTAAGTTCCAGGCCAGTCAAGGTTACAAAGTTCCTGTTTCAGTAGTAATAGTACTACTACTAATAATAATATAATGCTTGTCTAGTATACATGATGCCCTGGGTTTGATTCCCAGAATCACATAAAACTGGTAGTTAAGCCAGGTGGTGGTGGCGCACACCTTTCATCCCAGCACTCGGGAGGCAGAAACAGGTGGATCTCTGTGAGTTCAAGGCCAGCCTGGTCTACAAGAGCAAGTTCCAGGAAAGGTTCCAAAGCTACAGAGAAACCCTGTCTCAAAAAAAAAAAAAAAAAGAAAAGAAAAGAAAAAACAAAAACAAAAATAAACAAACAAAAAAGTGAATTTGAGGCAAGTGTTGGCTACATAACACCCTATTTAGAAAAAAAAAAAAGTAAAAGTAAAAAACAATTCTGATTCTCAAATCCGAGCCATAAAAAAAAAAGAAAAGAAAACAGGCCTCAGGCCATCATTTTTCTTTTCTTTTTTTTTAATATTTATTTATTTATTTATTATGTATACAATACTGTCTGTATGTATGCAGGCCAGAAGAGGGCACCAGACCTCATTACAGATGGTTGTGAGCCACCATGTGGTTGCTGGGAATTGAACTCAGGACCTTTGGAAGAGCAGGCAATGCTCTTAACCACTGAGCCAACTCTCCAGCCCCCATCACTTTTCAACTTTATAGGGTGTCACCAGAGCTCACCAGTGGCCATGTGCACTAACACGGAGTCAAGGGCTCTGTTATGACGCTCTAGAAGGTAGAGCCTGTTATTTTCAGCTGGGACAGCAGTGGTGCAAGTTACCCATCTTCTAAAACAAGAGCTTTCCTAGTTAGTCTAACACCCGTTGTGCTCTACCATATTCCGAGGGCACCAACCACCTCAGCCCTGTGAGCCACTGTCCACACGGCAGGGAACAACTTCGCATTCACCTTCTCAATCACTGAGATGTCTAGGTATATATTGTTGATTTCAAGAAACATTTTTTTTTCCATCTCAGCAAATGGTCTCATTTGGCACACGACTGACATAAAATCAAAGATCTTGGGTCAATAAACTCAAGCTGTTCACAAGTTCTTACGTAAAGTATCCATTCCCATGAGCACGTGAGAACCTGTTCCTGTCTTTGGTCCTTCAGAGAGGTTTGTCTAGCTCAGGTGTACTAATGATGCTTGCCACAAGGTGGTGGGGATCACCGGGAAACTGCAATCTGTTGGGCCAGGCGATCAAGCAATGTCTTGAGACCAAGAGTTTTTTCTCAGACTGCAGATAATCCTACTCATGCCTTTTTGCAACAGTCTGCTGTCTCCCTCTGTGTGGGATGAAATGAAGAAAGGACTATTCTTCCCCTGGACAGGGAAGAGTGACACAAGCTCTCTCACACTATCCATCGTATAACAAGTCTGGCCTGGACCTATGGAGGGGCAAGCGCTGAGGCCAGTGGTCAGTGCCGCTGAATGAACAAGCTGATTTAGAAAGGGTACATCACCATGGGAAATACTCAGAGCCTATCAGGATACTTATACACAGTTTCCAAATGTCAGGAAAGTTCAGTATTATCTGACAACTCATAGCATGAATAACAGGAAATAAATTTTAATAATCAAGGCTTCACTTTTAAGTTTTGCTGAGGAAACAATCTTAGATATAGAGAAAACTGGACAGTACGCTGGACACAAGCAGACACTGATTTCTGACCAAAGCTCCTCCAGTGTGGCGTCAAGTAGGGTCTGGACTGAGAGAGCCAGCACTCCAGCTGGGCGGTGCTCCATTTCCAATCAGCCCTGCACGAGGCTAGTTGACGCGACAAGCCCGGATCATGAGCAGCTGCAGGAGAATGAAGACCGGAGACGTGATCAAGCCGAACCAGAGCTCTCGAGTTTGCTCCACTAGTTTCTGGCACAGCAGCATCTCAAAGACAAACTTGAGGCTAAGGACTGTGAGAACCCAGAAGAGGCGCAGTACAGCCAGTCGCTTCTCCCCGTCTTGGAAGAGGCGCACCGACACGATGGTGGTGAAGTAGGTGCTGAGCCCGTCAGCGGCGAAAAAGGGCACAAATACGTTCCACCAGGAGAGGTTCGGGGCCAAGCCGTCCACTCGCAGTGCCAAAAGCACGGAGAACACCAACAGAGCCAGGAGGTGCACAAAGATCTCAAAGGTGGCGAAGCCCAGCCATTGTACCAGCTCCCGCAGCGAGAATAACATCGCGCCTATTTAATACCGGCCGCAGTCCGGCCGACGGCGCCCCGCACCGGGCCGTGCCCGCTTCGTCCACGGGTCTGGCTACCGCCTGCTGCCGCCGCTGCACACGCGAGGCAGCAAGCGGCCCAGCCCGGCCTGGACCCCGGCTCCGGCGCTCCCCGCTTCTCCAGACCCCTAATCTGAACCCGGAAAGGGATGCTAGCGAACGCCGCCCCCGGTCCAGACGCTATCCCCGCCCACCCACACCTCACCCACCTCGCGGTAGCGCAGCCTAAATGCGTCATTTCCTGTTGATAGCGGAAGGGGGAAGTGAGAGGGGTGTACGGTTCTGGCCGGCGTGTGCGGTAATGCAGGTTCCGCAGCTACTTGTGCTTTTCGGCAGTCAGACTGGCACAGCTCAAGATGAGGCGGAGAGACTGGGCCGCGAGGCCCGGCGCCGGCGGCTAGGTTGCCGCGTGCAGGCGCTGGACTCGTATGCGGTGGTGAGGCTCGGGTGATTCGGCAGAGACCCTCCACCGGACTTCGCGTCCTAGAAAGGAGGGCGTTTGAGTGCGGCCCTTCGGCCCCAGGAGGATTTAGGGGAAAGGGAGGCTTGGCACGAGGCTGAGGCCTGAGAAGGAGAAGGCCTGGTGGCCACTGGGAATGATTCTCCAATCACTTGACTCTGTTACCCTAGATGAATGGGCGCGGGTGGGGGGCAGTGTAGGGAGGGTACTGATGAGGGCTGTCCGAGACCTTACACATACCCGTGTCTTGTCCTTGAGGCGGATCTCATTAGGGAGCCCCTGGTGATATTTGTTTGTGCGACCACAGGCCAAGGAGACCCTCCTGACAACATGAAGGTAAGGCTGGCCTGATGTGTGCCCTCACCCCGTTTTCATTGCTGTGAGAGTCACCAAGGTGTACAGGAAATAGTCGCCCCTTAGTGCTTGATGTATATGAGAGGTGTCTTTGAGAGATAGTCTTTGAACGGATCTGGGGAGAGAAATAGCTCTTAGTAGCCACTCAATAGCCTTGATCTCTGTTTTTAGCCATTTTGTTTGTTTTCCCAGACCCAGTAGGAGGGTCCTGGCATAAGAATCACAAAGCCCCTACCTCCACCAGGACTGCCATCTAGCATGGTCATGGTCAGACAGGAGGAGTTCTCCTTTCCCAAAGATCAGCGATGAGGTGGGAGTCTTGAGAGGAGTAGCAGCCATCAGGCTGAATTGAAGTAAAATCGGAACCAGTCTGGAGAGCTGTCCCTAGGGCTAGGGGTGATTGTTAAAAAGAGCAGTATATGTGGGACAGAGACTAATGTCAAGCACTAGAGATGCTGAAGTAGAAGGGTCAGGAGTTCAAGGCTGCCGCACCTACATGACAAGTGTCTCAAAAGTTCAAAAAGTATCAGCCACATATGCTGGCATTCAGAGTAATCTCAACATTTCAGAGGTTGATGCTAAAAAACCTAGCCTTGCACTGGACTCAAGCAAAACCACTCCTTAAAAAATAAAGAATTCAATAAAAAATAGCTAAGAAAATGCCAAGGAGATGAGGGAATTGAGATGTCCCTCAGGTTTGAGATGTTGTGGTCTATGGACAGATAAGGTACCCAACACCCCCCACATAATGGTGTCTGACTCAGTCACAACAGGAACTGGAGACCTTTGAAGAGACTACAGACCCAAAGCCCAGAACCACATGCAGGGACCTGGGTCCTCAGTGACTGTCTGCTGAACACGATGGCCTTGGCCTCTCTTCCCTGTTCATCTTTAAAACACATTGAAATTATAGGAAAAGACCCAATAACTGTGTCTCTGCCTATCCCCTGCTGGTGAAACTCACAGTGGGACGGGCATGTCCTGAGGCTTTTCCATCAGCTTCCAAGTACAAATAGGTCACATTCACACAGAGAGAAAAGGAAGAATGGGCTGCTGGAGTGAAAGGTGAGTGGTGACAGGCACATAAAGGAAGGACAAGCCGGGGGCCTGCTGAGAGCAGAGAGGCGCTCCCAGAGTGGGCGTGGCTACCTGATGACCAACAGGACAGAGGACAACAGTAGGTGGCACTGGTTGCTCAGAAGCGGCCACTAAACTGGAAAGGTCAGTGTAAACCCAGAGTTTGAGGGCATGAATCAGTGAGTCGACACCTTCAGAGGGTCAGGGCATGCCCCGTCTCCCTTTTTCACCCAGAAGACTTCAGTCAGAACTTCTGACCCATCCTTGCGGTAGTGGACTGGCTGGCCCACTGCTACAGTAGTCGGGAGGTGACTGGTGGGTGGTAAGTGAGTTCACCCCTTAGATGGGAATAGGAAGAATAGTTTTATTGAGTATACTGCAAGAGGACACCAGGCTGACCTAGTAACTAGATTACCATGGGACATTGAGCTACAGGTTACCATTTTTGAGAAATACTTACACAGTGAGGATAAGTTTTCTTTATGTACAGATTCCTGGTCTGTAATTGGCACATTGCTAAGGAACGATGTCTAGATTGGCCAGTGTACGCTTCTGGACTCTAATGGTCTTCCTTCTGCATCATCCTCTCCCTGCTGGGGCCTCAGACAGACAGACAGACAGAACACCGGCCTAAGGTGGGATCCTAACATGGTTTCCTGTGGCTACAGAACTTTTGGAGGTTCATATTCCGGAAGAGCCTGCTGTCCACCTCTCTCTGTCAAATGGACTTTGCTGTCCTAGGCCTCGGGGACTCCTCATATGCCAAGTGAGTAGGGGTGGACATGCTGGCCAGATAGGAGTAGTTCTCAAGATCAAGCAAGAAATGAGACAGGCAACAGAGCCCCAGGTGCCTATCCACAGTAGATCATGTGTCCCTGGACTGTGTTAGCTGACCAACCTTACCCACATATAGTCCCTGGTAGGTGCTCTAATCCTTGAAGGACTTGGCACAGAGGAGACCACACCTGGGGAAGGAAAAGGGTGGCAGAGTACCACCATGGAATCGAGGGCACAGTGAGGCTCAGACCAGCCAGTGCTACATTACAACACATGATGAAGTTCAACCTCACCTGATCTGCCCCTGTTCCACATAGGTTCAAAACACGCTGTGCAGTATCGACAACTTGAAAAGAGCGCTGAGGGGGATAGCTTACCTTCAAGTGGCTTGTTAGGCAGGGAGGCAGCTAGTGATTTTTGTGTCCCTTAACCAGCAGTGCTGTTCGCATCATTTATGTCATGGGTGGTGATGAGGGATTTCTCCTCAGCGGTGCAGCTTGCTATCTAAAAGCTAGGACAACAGCACTTTGAACACTTCCTACTTTCACAGGGCCCAGTATCATCCAGCATTGAGGGCAACTCAATCACCATAAACAGTTGTGTACATGGCAGGGTTCTTCATTACTTTAGGTTTAAGTCAGGCGGTCGTGGCACACACCTTGAATCCCAGCACTCGGGAGGCAGAGAGAGGCAGGCGGGTCTCTGAGATTAAAAGAACAGAAAATGGAAGCTGGGCATGATGGTTCACACACCTGTGATCCCAGCACTCAGGCTGAGAGGATTGCCACAATCTTTAGGCTACAATGTGGGACCCTATCTCACTAAACCAAAAAATAGAAAATCGGAAGATGGGTGGCAACACGGCCATGCTCTGATAGAGATTGTGCTCACTTGTAGTGTACGGATGCACAGACCACGTGGGAGGAGATTGTGCTCACTTGCAGTGTACGGATGCACAGACCACGTGGGAGGAGATTGTGCTCACTTGCAGTGTATGACTGCACAGAACATGTGGGAAGGAGTCCAGCTGTGGATGTGGTTCCCAAATGGACAAGCTAGTGCAGGGACCAGTGTGTACTTTACAGACCAAAGGAAATCCTATTACAGGAAAACATGGTTATCTGCCCCTCCCCTGATCTCCAGTGGTAACTGGAGCCCTGACTAAAGGGAATACAGGGCCTTGGTCACTTCAGAAAAGGGTTGATGAGACTGTCTTCCACATGGCACCTTCTTGAGATCAGGGACCTACTCAATTTGCTGTCCTTGTTGCTCCAACCTCATCCCCTGTATACTGAAGCCCCCTCCCTCCTAGGATGAAGCCAGTGTGCACTGCTGAGGGAGTAACCCTTGAGGGAAGCCTGCACTGTTTACTCTGCCCAGGAGGTCAGCTGAACTACCTCCCTCACTGTTGGTTATCCCAGTCTGCCTTGCTGTCTCCACAGGTTCAACTTCGTGGCCAAGAAGCTACATCGTAGGCTGCTGCAGCTAGGAGGCAGTGCCCTCCTGCCCCCATGTCTGGGTGATGACCAGCATGAGCTGGGGTAAGTGGTGATGGTTGCAGTGGCCCTCTCTGGCCGTTCCATCTTGGCTCTGGCCAGCAGAGGCCAATGCGTGTGCTTTCTCCTAGGCCTGATGCTGCCATTGACCCGTGGCTGGGAGATCTTTGGAAGAAGATAATGGGTCTATACCCAGTGCCTCTTGACTTTCCTGAGATCCCTCTTGGAGTCCCGTGAGTATGAACCTTGGTGTATGAGTGCCAAGGGACTTTGAGCTGGTTAGCAAAAAAAAAAAAAAAAAAAAAAAACCTCAAGGTATGGTTGAGTGGTCCTGCACATCTGGTATTTCTTTCCACTTTCCACAGCTTGCCCTCCAAGTTCATCTTCCAGTTTCTTCAGGAGGTTCCCAGCGTAGGGACTGAGGGGCTAAAGCTAGCCAGCTCAGACCCTCAGAGACCCCCATCAGAGTTACAGCCCTTTCTAGCACCTGTGATCACCAACCAGAGGGTCACTGGCCCCCAACATTTCCAGGATGTTCGGCTGATTGAGTTTGACATTACAGACTCGAGTATCAGGTGAGGGGCAAAAGCCCTCAGGCAGTTGTTCAGCAGGGTGCTCATGTGTTGCTGGGAAGCTAATATGGTCAGGGAAAGGCAGTGGGTAGAGGTTCAGAAGAGTCAACCAAAGCCAAGGACTAGGCAGCCCAGTGGTTCAGAAATCTCTACACACAGCCTTCCAGCCCTCCCTTAACATCCCCTTTCTTCCTCTTCAGTCTCCTTAGTCCCTCCATCCTCCCCTTCCCCTCAGCCCCTTGGTCCTTCCCACATCCTTCCCACATCTCTGGTGGCTTTTCCGTGTAGCTATGCTGCTGGCGATGTCGTATCAATTATGCCCTCTAACTCGGAGACCCACACCCAGCAGTTCTGCCAGTTGCTAGGCTTGGACCCCAAACAGTTTTTCATGCTTACGCCTCGGGAGCCAGGTGAGTATGGCAGATGCACCAGCTCTTAAGGCCCAGGGCACCCCCTGATGTCCCTGCCCACCAAGTCTCCATGCCATTCCTGCAGGCGTCCCTCACCCACCAGGGCTGCCTCAGCCCTGCACAGTGTCGCATCTTGTGTCACAGTATTTGGACATTGCCAGCGTGCCCCGCCGTTCCTTCTTTGAGCTCTTGGCTTGTCTTTCTCCACCTGGGCTGGAGCGGGAGAAGCTGCTAGAATTCAGCTCCGCCAGGGGTCAGGAAGAGCTCTGGGAGTACTGTAATCGGCCCCGCAGGACTATCTTGGAGGTGGGCTTGTGGGCAGTGGGGGGTATGGGCTCTCAGCCCTAGCATGCCACCGCCATTCTAAACCTCCCTCTGGCCAGGTGCTCTGTGACTTTCCACACACAGCAGCTGCCATTCCTCCAGACTACCTTTTGGACCTTATCCCTCGGATCCGCCCACGGGCCTTCTCCATTGCCTCTTCCCTGCTGGTGAGGGACTCAGTAGACTGGCCGTGGGAAAGCTGGGACAGGGCAGGGTGTTTGCAGATGGGTTGCCTTCTGAATGAACAGGGACAATTTCTCTACCAGGGACTGTCCCTGGGTGGGGTTGGTAGCAGACAGGAACGGTTTAGCAGGACAGGGCCTTCCCTCTGCCCCCAGGCTCATCCCGGGAGGCTACAGATCCTTGTGGCTGTGGTGCAGTACCAGACTCGCCTCAAGGAACCCCGCCGTGGCCTCTGCTCCTCCTGGCTAGCATCCCTGAATCCTGAGCGAGGTGATCTCTATTTCTGGGGGTGGGAGAGGCTGTAGCCTCAAGGTCCTACCTTCCCCTGTACCTCCTGCCACAGGAGCTCAAGCCCCACCAGTGAGCACCTCAACCTTGTCTTTTGACCTCCCTCGTGCCTTTTCCCTCCTGCAACAGGACCTATCCGGGTGCCTCTGTGGGTGCGGCCTGGGAGCCTAGTGTTCCCAGAGACACCAGACACGCCCATTATCATGGTAGGGCCTGGAACTGGTGTGGCGCCCTTTCGAGCAGCCATTCAAGAGCGAGTGGCCCACAGCCAGACTGGTGAGTATAGGAGTCCCAGGGCAGTGTGACCACTGAGACGGGTCTGGCTGAGTCCATGTATCCAGACGGGGCCACCCTATGTACCCCAGGAAACTTCTTGTTCTTTGGCTGCCGCAAGCGGGACCAGGACTTCTACTGGCAGACTGAGTGGCAAGAGCTAGAGAAGAAAGGCTCCCTGACCCTGGTTACAGCCTTCTCCCGGGAGCAGGTGAGTATACTCGAGTTAGGTGGGGCCGGAGTTGGTATGGCTGGGACTCAACCTGCGACACCTGCAGGAGCAGAAGGTGTATGTGCAGCATCGGCTCCGAGAGCTGGGACCTCTTGTCTGGGAGCTGCTGGATCGCCACGGTGCCCACTTCTACCTAGCAGGGTGAGCCAACTTGGGGGTGTAGAGGAGCGGACCAGCCTTCAGAGGTGGGGAGTGGGGGTTGGGGCCACAGGATCACTGAGCTTTCTGAGGCCTACCCCTCCAGCAATGCTAAGTATATGCCTGCGGACGTTGCGGAAGCTCTGACATCCATTTTTCAAGAAGAAGGACAACTCTCTAGCGCAGATGCGGCTGCCTACCTTGCCAGGCTTCAGCAGACACTGCGTTTCCAGACGGAGACCTGGGCCTGAGGAGCCACTTGCTAGCTCACACCAACAGCTGCACTGGAGAGCCTACTGAAGTCTAGGGGGCCCATTGTCACTTCCTGTCCTCTGATCCCAGAACACTTGTGAGACCATGGTGTAGCTTCTTGACTCCAGTTGACTAGCAGGGCACTCCCTGGATACAGCCAAACTCAGTGGAACCCAGTGTCCCACCCTCACTTTCCCTGGCCCCAGTGAGATGTACACTTCTGGTTTCCTCTCTGTCCCCTTCACTGCGCCCCAGATCTGCATTATGCTCCGTACCACAGGGGCTGCTGAGGCCTCCAAGAGGCAGGGAGTCCTGTGAGGGCTGCACTGCCCCTCTGCCCTGGTGCTATTCCATTCATTCCACAATACCTATGGGGCTCAGGCTCAGGTGAGAGGCCCCCAGGGGCTGATTCTCCTGAGCATTGAGAATGAGCAAGTCAGTCTGTCTCAGGCCCTTAAACATCTTGAGTAAACTGCCTGGGTAGCTACTCGCTTCTGCTTTTTTGCTTCTAGATTTGGGGGTGGTGGGTTGACTGGATTATCTGCATCTGCTAGTAGTAGCCAAAGACTGTTCCAGGCCATATGTGAGGCTGCGTGCATGTATGTCCTTGTCAGGTACCTATGCTAGGATCACACTGCACTCGGATGTCTGATGTCTAAGTTCCAGTTAGTCTCCCCTTTGTACTTAGAGGGCAGGTCTTGGCTCTGTCTGATCTTAAACTGTAACAGTTCAGCCAAGCTCATGCCCTTCTTTGATGGCCAAACAGAGAGTTATTGGAAAGTCCTGGCCCAGTGCTGGAACACACTATCTGGAAGAATGAGCAGGTGGAAGGGGTGTGTTAGGAGTTGGCCCGCCCATGGGCAGGGCCTTTACCCCTGGAAAGAGAAACCCTGTTGGAGGAGTCAGACAGGTCCGAGGGCAGCTGGGAGCTGAGGAACCTCTGTTTTGTCCGACAACTGCCGGAACAGAGACCAGGCCTGGCCAACATCACTCGTAAGCCTGAGATACCAGGAGCAGACGACGCTGCGGGGACTCAAGTGAAGTTTACTTCCGGTAGGGTCAGCAAGCCCAAAGGTGTATCTGGAGGTCAGTGCTCTAGTGACTGAGACCAAGCTCTGCCTGGCTCCTGAGGGCCACACTTAACCTTTACATCTCCAACAATCCCTGCTGTCACCCTGGAGTCCCAATCTTCGCATCCTGATTTCTGTTCTGGTGGTTCTATCCTGGGGCCTAATGACACCAGCTCTATACCCACTAGTTCACCTTGTACTCCTTTGAGTCCTGAGCTCCTGGACCCACTGCGTCAGCTACTAGCAGATGAAGAGGATAATCTCAGGCCCCCCCAGGATGCCAGGACTCCAGACAGTAAGCCTGAACTGGTGGCCAGAGATCCAGCTGGTGCCAGGGCCCTGTCAACTGTGGAGGGGCAGGAAGAGTGTGAGGGACAGGCAGAGGAGGAATGCCCCATCTGCACTGAGCCTTACGGGTCTGATGAGCAGCACCAGGCCTTGCTGAACTGTGGTCACAGCCTGTGTGTGGGCTGCCTGCACCAGCTGTTGGGCATAACCCCCAGAGCTGACCTGGGCCGTGTGTGCTGTCCACTGTGTCGTCAGAAGACACCCATGCTAGAGTGGGAGATCTGTCAGCTGCAGGAGGAACTGCTTCGAGCTGATGGACCCCAGCGCCCAGTGCCCATTGCATCCACCACACCCCTGCGCCCTGGCCCTGGGCCCTGGGGATCCTTGGAGCACCGCTACCGCCTGCGTTTTCTGGCAGGGCCTGTGGGAGGCCGGAGCTGCCTCCCCTTCCTTCCCTGCCCTCCCAGCCTAAGTACCTGGCTGTGGACACTGCGGGAACGTGGCCCCTGTGCCCGTCGCCTATCACTGCTGAGCCTGCTGGCATTAGAAGTGCTGGGTCTGGTGCTCATCTTCATGCCGCTCATGTTACTAGGAGTGTTCTTCATGCTCCTAGACCGTTCCAGCCGCTGAACAGAGCTCAGGGCGTTGGCCAAGCTTTGAAGCCCACGCTTAGATTCTGGTCATTAGCAAAGACTTGCTATCACAATCCCAAGACCAGGCCTACTCAAGAGCCTGGGTCAGCCAGAGTGCTTACACACCCCTGCAGCCCAGATAATGACAGAGCCAAGGACACTAAGCCAAGGACAGCCTCTGAAGGAGATTGGCCTAACAGGAAGGGCTGTGACCAGAGCCCCATGTGCTTACCACGGACAAACACCTTACTGGCCAGAGGCAATGGCTGGATTCTAACACCAACTCCTGAGGTCTATCTCGTGAGGGTAGGCGCAAATGTGAATAGAGGTCTAGCAGAATTCTGTTGCTAGAAGGCAAGGGCTGCAGGGACCCTCTCCCTGTCCAGACAGAGGTTAGTGTGTGCCCCTGAAGGCCACAGTAGCTAGCTGGAGAGGCCTGCACTACACAGACCCATCCTTCAAAAGCTCCTCACCCAACCTAAGATGCCCGGAGCAACTAGGATCAATATTGGTTTTGTGCTGCAAGGACCAAGGTTCAATCCAGGCCCTGAAACCAGCAAATGGCCATGGCCAAGGTCCAGCTCTGTAACTGACTATACAATTCATGTCACTGGACTCGGAGCCCTCACTTGGGCAATGAAGACAAGTGTAAGCCACCTCTTGGCTTACTGGTGACAGTGTAAGGTGGGCTGATTCTGTCTACATCCAGCATAAGAGTGGCTCTCAATAAACAGTTGCTACTGATACCATTGTTACCACAGCCATCACTGTTAACTCCATCTCCGCCATCCAGGCAGCTCTCATTCTCTTCAGTGGTCCAGTCACAGGCAGACAGGTCAGTGCCATACAAGAGAGCCATGATCTTAGTTTATGCTGTCCAAAGGCCATTTCTACATATTCTTGGCCAGAGGAAAGGTACTTTTTGGGGGGTGGGGTGGATATCTCACTGTATAACCAATGCTGACCTCAATCCTGCCCTGGCTTCCAGAGTGCTGGGATTACCAGTGAGCATTTACACACAGCTGAAGGTTCTGTCTGCCTAGCTGGGCCACAGCCCCACGTGCCACGCACTAGCAGCCCTCTGAACCAATATGTTTACAGCTAGTCCCAGGCCTCCCAAGCAGCAGACTCGGCCCAGCTTGGCCTCCAACAAGTAGAGCAGCCAACCCGAATGAAGATGGGTCGCCTTCTGGCAGTTCCTAATTAGACTGTCTGGGCTACAGCCCTGAGAACCTACTCAAGGCCCAGGCCTGGGCCTAGCCCACAGGAGTAAGCTTCAATCAGTGAACCAGTGCAAACTTTGGCAAAGAGTTTTAATGGCAAAGTTGGCTGCAGCGACAATGCCACGCAGGGTAGGGCCAGAAGCCACAGTGGGCAAGAAAGGGTCAGCGGGAAACAGGACAGGGCCAGTTCCCTGAAGAAGCGGCGAGCAAGGGCCTGCAGGCAGTCGTGGGCAGGTGGACACTACATGATGGAACAGGCTGATAGTGGGTTCCGCACATGGCAGGTGCATGCAGCCCCACAGTACTGCCGGAAGGTCTGGTAGCAGCTGCCTTCAGATTCACCCCCCCACTGGCCACCGGACGGGGCTGTCAGGGCTTCAGGTGGCAGGCGGCTCAGGATGGATGTATTGACAGCCAGTGCAGCCAGGCCATAGTCAGTGAAGAGCACAGTCTCACGGTGGCAGGTGGGACACGAGATAAACTTGTACTTAGGGCAAGACTCGTAAAGAATCTGCAGGCACTGCTCACACACAGAGTGCAGGCAAGACAGCACGCGGGGCCGCCGCTGAGTGACGTTGTATGTGTGCCCACAGGTGGGGCATTCCAGGGGCTCACCTGCTATCACTGGCCCGGATGATGAAGGTGCAGAGGCTGTTGGGCCAGGTCGAATCACATATTGATTTACAATGACCTCATCCACTGGTGCCACCCGGGGGAAGCCCAATTCAGAACTGCCCTTGCGGGGCCGCCTTGGCAAGGGTGGAGTGTGGGGTGCTCCTTCCAAGGTAGGCATGTCCCCCCCACATGCCTGGTTGACAATGATCTCTGTGTCTGAGGGCCAAGCCCGCTTGGGTGCCAGAGTGGGAGTGGGCCTGGGTGCAGGTGGGAAGCAGGGGGTGGCCGCCGGGAGCTCAGGGAACTTTTCAGGGTGGACAATCTTCATGGCCTCCATTTTGAGGATGACATGGGGGCCTTTCAGGCAGGACATGAGGAGGCCCGGCCATCCACTGCCCACCTCGGGCCCAGGGTCAGCTGGCATCCGGCTCTCTACAGTCAGACCGGACGTTGGCACAGGTGGGGGCGTTGGGTGGGGCCGTGGGGGAAGAGAAGGGGCTGCATCCTGGTCCTGCCAGGCCTGGTGAGGCCCCCGGTTACTCCGTGGACTGCAAGGGGCAGCGGGTGACAGGTTGGGGGGCAGGGCCCCCCCCAGTGGCCACAATGGCTTATCTGGTTCAGTCCGAAGAGGAGGAGGAAGAGGAGGGGGAGGGGGAAGCAGGCGGGGGCAAGGGGGTACAGGAGGCTGTCTTGGGCTGTGGGGTTCACGCAGGGGCTCACCCAGGGTCTCTGTCTGCTGAGGCTGGCAAGGGGGCGTGGAGGGGCCTCCTCCTGCAGCAGAGGTCAGCAGTCCCTGGGCCGGGACATCTGGGCAGGCAGGGGCTAGGTGGGCCCCATGGCTCCAGGACAGGGCGCCCAGGGAAGGCAGCTAGCCTGATCCCTGGCTGCCGGAGGACCTGGGCTGCAGGCTCCGCGGCAACAGCAATGGAGAGGCCTGCACCAGGCCCGAGCTGCGGGTGAGAGATAGCGTGAGGACAGCACGGGGCCAACCTCACTTTCGCCCTCACCCCCACCCTGCACAAAGGACAAGGTGCCCGACCTCTGACCCTGACCTTATCCGTGGGATCCAAGTCTTCACGGAATTCTGAACCCAACCCCCTCCCCAGTATGCCCTCCGAGGCCAGATTCACTGTCCGGAGGATTGACCCTATGAGAGAAGGAAGGAATGATGCATCTGACCCCCGCCCCTCCCCCCGCTCACCTGCCCCAGCCTGGCGTTCCCCGGCTGCGCCGCCGCAGCAGCAGAGGTTGTCTCAAAGGCAGGCCTGGATGCGGCGCTCGCACCTTGGCTCTCCGGCTCTAGCGGCTCCGATAGCTCCCGCGGCTCC